TTGGACCAAACTTTGGATTTATTAAAGCAGAGAAAAATTACCTTCATATCCGCCAAATTTCAAAGCTGATAATCTGAATCATTTTTAATCCCTTTTGAATGTCAGGTTTTGGGTTTTGGGCATAATCCTGTGGAAGAATCATCAAAAAAGGGCCGTCGGAGATAGCGAGGGCGTTAGTGCTCCATCGGCGCATTTTATTTCCACTCGTAAATTTCTTTCGACGTGTGTGTGTTTTTAATCGGGGCTTTCTCTGCTTTTTACGATTGCGCCGAAACGTGAAGGCGATCGAGGTGAGTGTGTTTTTTCCTTCTCATATCTGCGGCGACGTCGCCAAAGCTTTTTTGTATCAACCGGAGAAAAGCTGCTCCCCGAAAGAGATTTTCTTTCTCCGAAGAGAGACAGGTGGGAGGTTTTTTCCTCCCTTTCGTGCACAAACGGCTGGATTCATAGGGATTTAAAAACGTGTTAAAGTGTCGTTAGCGGAAATAAATTACAGTGCAGCAATTGTTTTCGCACGTTGCGGAACGCCATAAATCATGCAAAGCTGATTGGATACCGCATTAAAACGAGAATTTATGATCGCACACGCGTCCCACATAAATAATTTTCCCTCGCTTGCTTTCAATATTTCTTTTTTCCACGACACTATTCTTTTTTTAACGTGGAAATCAATTTTCTTTGCAATTTATCTCTCCCTCATTTGCGTAAAAAGCAAAAACTTTGTTATGGCAATAATTTATTTAAAATTGAATGAGAATTTATTTTTTAATTGGTCACTGTAAAATGAAATGCTCAAATTATGTACCTGAATTAAATCTGATTCAGAGAGCTAAACTAATAATTATTTTTTGTAATAATTAATGTTATTTTCTTTTTCTCAGGCCGTTTTATATTTAAAATCATCATTTTGTAAAATTTCATCATTTAAAATTTCATTAATAACCAGAATAGCAATTAAATTAAATACAGTTTCCTCGAAAGTGGCGAAATCTTTAAACTGAGAAAAGATTCTTCACTGAATTGTCAAAGCAGATGTAAATTTAATAACATAATTACTAGAAGTTTCTTAAGTCTTTCTATGAACCGTAATGATGAAAAGTCTCAAATAGACCAGAAAGGTTTTGCAATTATTGTAAGAGGGTCAAACAAAGATTGGTTTAACTGATCGAGTGCAAGAGACGGAGGAGAATCAGTTTGGTATTGCAAAGGGACGGACATGAATCGGGGACGGCGTAGAATGGGTTTTACGCTTGCGCGCGATTTATTTAATCAGGCTTTGAGCGCCGCAAAGGAAGCCCAATTTGGCAGGCAGATGAATTCATTCACAGTGAAATTGGCACTGACATGCAGATGCGAGTGAAAGGCCCATTGAGTGATAATTGGAAAGTGCCCACGGCCCCTAGGGGTGCAGTACCTTCTCTTTGTGTGTGTGTGTGTGTGTGTGTGTGCGAGAGAGAAGAGTGGGTGTGTTTATCGATTCGTATGTCACCTCTCCAGGTGGCAGCCAGAATAAATGGTCTTTCGCACATTTCCAGCACACAGATACCGATCAAACTCTCGTCTCTCCGAGTGTTTTTTTTTTCTTTTCCATTTTTTATTCCACCGCGGAAGAAAATATAATCATTTTTAAGATGGATTATCTGCCGCGGTTGGCAGAGTTTAATCTTGGAAATTGACTCAGAAATCAAGTGGGGGGAAAGCGAATTAAATATTAAGATTGATTTCTTTCGATCCACGAAGCAACCTCTGCTAGCAAGATTTACTTTGATACGGCCTGGGAATAAAAATTGATTCGTATAAAGAAATGACACAAATTACAAACTCAAGCATGAACAGCAACTTTTAGTCAAATAGAGACAGAGTTTAACGTTGAGTGTCAACTTTTTTCTGGCCAAATTTTACATTTCCTTCTATAAAATATTATGTTATTTGTAAGCAAAGTGTTACATTTTTAAATTAAATTTTAGTTAATAGTGCAATCTTTAAATTAACAGTTTGATTCAGAAATATTGAATTCATAATTTTGTCAAACTTTCTTAAATTTGATTTTTTTTTTTAACGATAAAATTGATGACAAATATTTTTCTGTACTTTTTTGCTGTTTTCTATTAACGTTTATTCATTGAGGATAAGTAATGACGCACAAAAAAATCTATTATTATTTTCAAAGAGAAAATTCTTTAATCAAGTTGACTTGGAAATGCTTTAATTTTTATTCAACGAAGCGGAAAGAATCCTGATCCGCGCGTGTCGAAATGAGACTTCCACGCGGGTGCTCTCGCAAATAAATATCAGCAGAAATTGCGCTAATCTTCTCTCCGCCGCTATTTTCCCAGTGCAGTGAAGAGGGTCGCTTGAGAGCACCCCCGTTTTATTATTTGTTTTTCCTTCTTGCTCGCGCTGCTGGATGTCGATTTCTGCTTTGTGTTTCAAACAGCTGTTTGTGTTAATTACATTGCATGCAGACGTTGAAAAACAAGTGTGCCAATTAATAAAAGTAGAGAGAGAGAGCATAAAATGAATTCGCCTCGGCTGCAGCGAGTCAGTCAATAAACGGAAAAGGGACTTTGTGAAAAGCCTGCAAAACCATTTGCATATTACATAATTCCCGCAGCCGGGAAAATGGACCTTCATGTAATCAAATTCGAGCCGCGGAAAATAATTTATTTCTTTCAATAGCTTCAGTGCCCTCGCCTGAATAAACTCGATTTATTTAAAATGCGAATCAGATAAAAAAAAAAAGAGTAAACATGACGTGGAGCGGCCGGTGAAGCAATAATTCAAGAGCAGCCCTCGGGGGGCTTGTGCGGATCCTCTTTGCACACTCAAAACATAAATCGTCCCTTTCCACCGCATTCTGATTCATTTGATTCAGTAGCAAACGCCAGGCCGATCCATAACGCAAAAAAAACTTTTAAATTTCACAATACTGCTGTGAAAGTCAGCAACTATTTTAAAATATTGAAAACTATTTATTACCTTATAAAATATTTTTATGTGAAATATTTATCAATTTTATGAACTATTAATATTACGAATATTACTGGGGTGGAAAAACTGCCTGCATTTCTTCCAAATAAAAGGAATTTTTTAATTATTAACATTTTGCCGGAAAAAATCCAGTCATAATTTTTATGAAAAAATTTGGAAACATTGTAAGGATAAATTTTGCTACATCGAATTAAAATAAGAATTTTAAAAAAAGCTTATTGTAAATATCAGCTTCATAAAATGAAGTGATTTTCATTCATTTTAAAATTGGTATTGCATGTAACATCATTAAAATTTTTTTTTAATAAAATTAGTTTTGGACGAAAATTAGCTTCCAAAGTAATCAAAACAACAAAAATCCCTACCAATCAATATACTTTTGAAGTTACCAGAACGTAAACAATTTCACTAGAACACCTTTTCCATATCAAATTTTAAATTTTTTTCCCTTTATAATATTTACTTTTTCCTTGTGAACATCTCACCAGTATGAATAGCCCCCGGAGCTTTTTTGTGTGCATAAATTCCCATTTGCGCGTCGTTCCACTTGCATGAAAAGTAGGTTTTGTTTGCAGTTTCTTTTCATACCGGCCGACGTACGCGCAAAATAACAACAGTTGTATATTTGTTGCGAGGACAAATAAAAATGTGCCTTGTTTTGCCAGTGGCTGTGTGTGTTGCCGGAACTTCCTGCCCGCGAACATTCCGCGTGTTTGGACAATCGATTTTTCCCATTTTGTACAAGAGCCCCGCATTATGCAAATAGCAGGGCCCAATATTTGCTTGGTCCACGTCTTGGATTTATACGGTTTGCACAGACTCTGCAAAGCTCTCTTCTCTCCCTCTCTCGCTTTTAATTTGTTAGCTCAGAGCCCAAATTGCTTTTTTAACATGCAAATTTTCCGCCCTCAGGAATGAATCTCTGCAGAAATTTCGGTTCACGCTTGGCCGCGTCTTTTTCAGTGACGTGCAAATGTAAAAAATTGCGCCCATTTGCCACGCTCGGTTGCCCACACAATATGAAAATAAACACAGATTATTCGCTTGGCAGAGAGAAAAGTTGGCGCAGCTTTTTTCAATTTCTGTTGCAAAACATTCTGACGAAACAAAGTAGCGTTTTTCTATACCTCAGAAGTTTTTAAAAAGTGGAAGTAATTCGGCGTGCAATTTTACTTTCAGTAAATTGTGAAGTGGTTCGAAGCTTTTAGTTGAAAATAAGTTGAAAATTTAACAACTTTCAGCGCGCACCTGAAAGACCTGAATGTAGCTAGCATTTTTAAGACCTAATAAATTAATCAAAAACTGGAGAAGAGCACAGAAATTTTAACAGTTTTCAATAAAACCATTGTTTAATTTTAGTGCTGTCCAGTAACAAATTCAAGATACAGACGAAAATCTATAAAATTTATTAATATGATGCAGAAAAAAGTTGAAAAAAGTAGACCTTAATTTGGCATTAAATTGCATCAGTTTGTGCCCAAATTTAGGTGGAAATATTTGTTACAAGGTACATTTTTTTCCAGCCCTATAAACAATTTTGCTTTTACTAACAACTATTTTCACGCAGGACCAGAAAACTTTTTTGTTTATATTCTGCCAGCTGGAAATTCTCCCAAGCAAAAACTGCTTGGAAAAGCCAATTAAAACAATTTAGCGGTGTAATTAAAAATGATGTTGAAACAGAAAAGGAACTTTCCGCGTTAAATACCATGCTGAGGCCCTTTTTCGGCCTTTTGCGAAAACAAAAGTTTCCCCTTTTTTCCCCCATCTCGTAAATTTGCCTCGTTAAAAAAGAATCTACGCAGCTTTTCGCAAAACAACAAGGCTTTCAATTGCACGATTTAATTGGAACTCGCATAAAAAGCCAAATTAAACGCAGGACAATGATCGTCTGGCTTTATTGGCTGGTCCGTTGGCATGCGGCCAAGAAAGTCTGGTCAGTCAGCACTTTGGCGAGGCCGACCGACCTCGTTAAAGGCCAATAAAAGTGGCTGTACTTTTTTCCTCACCTGCACTCCGCCGACACCGATGACAAAGAGCAGCTGCACCATGAACAGCGCCGCCAGCAAATTGATGAGCGCCGTGCCCGAGATGGTGCGCAAGTCGGAGAACAGGCTGCGAGAAAAAGACACACAAATCACGAGAATGAAATCGAGGAGGGGATGTTTAAGGGTGCGAAAACGATTCTGAACAGGAGAGAGCGAAATTCGATCAGGTTTCCTTTGAAAAAAGCTATTCTCTTTATTCTTTTGAGCAAAAAGGAAAAAAAACCATTCCAAATTGTTAGCGGAAGGGATGCACAACTCAACAGTGTCAAAACAAAATGATCTCATTAAAAGCTTGAGTAAAATCCTCAATAAATTAAATGAATTTTTCATTGAATTTCTATCTTTTATTATTTGAAGATTTGAATTATTAATAAAATAAGTCAAAACTGAATTAAAATTTGGATTAATTTAAATGGATAATCAGCAACCAACCAATCAAACTGTGGCTGATAAATCTCAAATATGACCCTCGAAATTAAATTAGAGGAATATAAAACAGACACATTTCAATATTAATAAAAAAGGGTTGAAAAATTTAGATCAACTATTTATTCTAAGCTTTTCCAATCGACCTGTACTTGATTCTTGAGACTTCAATAAGATTTCATTTAAATTCAGATCTATCACCAAAAACCTTTTTTCTAACCACGCGACGCAAAAAATCTTGTAAAAATAAAATTATGAAAGTTTCTAACTCTTTGCGTTTCCAAAGACCATATAGAAAAAGAAATCCCGGAAAGACCATTTCTGATGATTTCTAGCCACTTTCAATGATTTTTATCTCTCAGCCCTTGGCAATCCCTAACAATACTATCAAGTGGCTGATGAAGTAATAAGGTGAATTTTTATTGAAACTGCGCATAACTAAACAATTGATTTTGGTAAATTACTTTTTATGAAGGAAAAAGTTGAAATATATCTCATTTTGATTGTAAATAATGTCATTTTCATGAAAGCTTCTGAAAATAGTCTCCGACTATCCATGAAAAAATAATTTTTACATTCCTAATCAAAATTCAGCAAGGAAAATATCCGGGCAATTTTTAATTTTTGTTACTCAATTTCAATCCCTGAAATCAATCTGGACGATTTTAATATTAATGAATATTTCATTAAATGCGGCCAATCATTATTTTCCACATTTTTTTTCTACGTGGGCATTCATTTTCGGCGTGACTCGACGCCATATCAACAGTCTCGGGTTTGTTTTTTGTTTCACATCGTCATGAAAGCCGAGCTGTTGTTTTCTGTAATATTATACGTACTTTGGCCCGCGCTCGGCTGAATTCAGGCCTGCCTGCGTCACAGACAAACATATTTAAATAATTTAGTCACCTCGTTAAATATTCACATAGGTTTTGCCGTTTCGCGTTGCAGACACACGCGCGAAAGCCACTGTGCCTTTTTTGCCAAAGTTGTAGCGGATCAGCGCGCTCAACTTGAAAATGAATCTAATTACGCGGCAGCGGCGGCGGCTGCAAATTAGAGTCTACAAAGCTATACTGATTCTCAAGAAGGGGTTAGAGTTCGCAGGCAGAGACACTAATATGAAGTAGCTCCCCGTCACTTTGTGCTTCGGATGAGGCAATCAACATAATTAAACTAGAGCCAGATCCGCCGCTTCCTCCTCCTAGGCGTGTATTTTGAGACGTGAGACAAACTTCCGCAGCCCCCTGTGTTGGTTTTCAGCTAATCATGCAAATAGCTGTGCAGTTTCAAAAGGTCTCATCAAAAGTTTCGCTATTAAATCTGACCCTTGTCTATGATTTTGAAATGTAATAATCCTCTGGAGAATTATGAAAATTGTTTTGCCAAACATTAGAAGAGGATTCAACGAAGAAATTTTATTATGGAATCATAAGAATCATTTTTAAAAGCAGAAAACTAGGTTTTAATAACAATAAAAAATTTAATTCAAAGTGCGATTGTTTTGTTTTGCATATTTTCCCCAAATGAACCTTATGGCCTGCAAAAGTGAGCCAGATATAGACCCAGTTCTACTGGGCCAGTTAGACCTGCTGTTTTTTTGTGTGAGATATATTTTCTTACCGGTGACCAAGTTGCTGGGTCAGAGATAATTGACCCTGGAGAAAGGTTTAATGTAAAGTTAATTGTCCCCCTTAAAAATATATTATGCAATAAATCTATAAAAATAAGATGGCTAGAAGATTTGCCATGTATTTTTTTTAATCATTAATAAACAATTTCCAAATATTTTTTAACAAGCCGGTTTAAAATAATATTTGATTTTAGAATTGAGTTACGTCTGAAAATGGTCTGTTACAATTATTCATTTAAATGATTGGAAAATGAGACTTTTTGTTATCATATTTGAATCGAATTGAGCATGTTCTTAAGTAAAAAGAGCAAATAATTCCTTAAAATTGCCCAAGTTTTTCGATTCGTAATGTTTTGCTTTGCAAATTACAAATCACACTCTGTGCATCATTTAATATTTTTCTTAAATTTACTTTTGTGTGGTAATGTTATTCATAATGTGAACATTCATAAACTAAAATAATTACAACATCAGACTAAAATATTTTTTTAGCCCACATTTCAGCAAAAAAATGAGCACCCATCTTTGAGATTAACATTAATAATTTTTTATTTTAACCACAAAACCACATTTTCCATGCACACTAGAATTGAAAATTTGGCAAAGCGTCATTTAACTTTTAAAACTCGGTCACAAATCGCAACCGCAAAAGCAATTTGTCCGAACGGAAACTGACGGAAACGTGAGGGTGCATACTAATGGGCGCGTTACGTGCGCGCCTATAAGCGGATTCGCTCTAATTACTGGCTCGGATGCAAATCTTCAACGGATCAGAGTCGGACCAGCAATGGTGGCCGCCGCGACAGATCAAAGACTGAATTTGCCAAAAGGACGTCAGTGGCCCCAAATTGCATTTGCGCTGCTGAGAGTGAGAAGCACTTGTTCTTGCAAGGCACAAATTTATTCATGGCACTTAAGTGAGGTGCAGAGAACATTAATTTTTCACTGCGAGAGCGAGCGAGAATAAATTACATTTCCCGAAAGAGAGAGAGAGAGAGAGAGTCCCGGCCTTCTTTATTCTCTCCGAGCCTCTCGATTTTTATTCCGGCGACACTTCGCAATCTAAAATGCAAACAGACATTCATGCCTTTTTCAGTGGTTTTTCTGAAAGTCGATATCGCGCGTCCTGTCCTGCCAACATTTATCATCTGAAATGAACTTTGCAACAAAGCTAATTTTATACTTTTCCTGCAAGTTTTTCGCCACACGGAAAAGACTTCGTGTTTTTTGCGCCGCAAATTGCTCAACTTTGAAAAAAGCCCTAACGTTTTCAGCGTAAAAAGTTTCATGTGCGCACACTTGACTTTATATTCCAAAAGACCATGCTTTTTCGGATATTTTCCGCTCAACTTGAATGGCTCGATAAGCCAAAATGGATGAAATATCTCATTTCTACTTGCAGGAAACGCCAATATTTTATTAGTTCTGAGAGAGTTTTCCAATTCTTTTTTTACTGTGACATTTTGAAAATAACTTTTTTCATAAAATTTGAAGCAAATTCGTGATTTTTTTTAAACGAACAAAATATATTCTTCTGCAAAATTTAAAAAATTAGAAAGAAACACTGCGGAGTTTTTTTTTTAAATTATTTTAGACTTCAAATCTTTTTCAATATTACCATTTTTGTATGTTGTACACGCTTGTGTCTAATAAATATTTGATGATGAATGATGATAAATCTTTTTCAATTAAATTTTAATCCTTCTTACCATTTTTTGTAACAATAATATAGACCTCTAAAATTATTTTAATTTCATTCATTCAAAATTAGGTTAACTTCATTTCAACCTTGACACATCTTGGAGAAGTAAAAAATAGCAGCATTCTAAAAATATAAATTATGCAATTCATTTTAAGACTGAATTGAAAATTAAAAAATGCTTTTACGAGAAATAAAAATGTAAAAGAAAAAGCAAATCAAACGTCAATCCGCAAACCGCACACAAAGAACTAGTAAAGCTGTAATCATTAGATAACCCGTGTGTTTTATGATTCTAGAATTTCAAAGCATTTAATTTGAAGTCAAAGACGACAAATTATATTATTCTTTCATAAAAACTTCTGTCCTACTGATAATTGTAATTCACATTCCAATTTTCTAAAAAAAAAAAAAATAAAATAAAATACCGAAACTTTGCTGCTCTTTCAGCTTTGCAAAAACTAATCTTCATCCTTTGAATTACGCAAAGGAATATAAAATCGCATACTTAAAGAAGAAAGAGAAAAATTATCATCATTATTTGCAAATAAATAGTAAATTGAGTTAAAATTGAACCTGTAAGTGATGAAAGCAAAGACGAGCGCAACGAGAGACACAGAGCTGCCTAAGACGGCTAATAGCGACAAAAGGCCTTCGTGGCCCTCGAGGCCTGTCAGGTTGACGAGCCCCGGGGCCGCGAAGCCGTGCACCCTGGCCGCGTACAGGGTGTCCATCCGCCTGCAAGCGTCGCCCCACCAACACTGAACGCCGTCAGCAGGCGCGCGACCCACTCTGGCATCTGCGCCGCGCACAGTCGCACACCCCTTACAAAAATCAAGCGCGTGCAATTTTCAACCATTTCTGGGCCAATATTTTTGATATCAAAACTACTAAATATATTAATATATTTTTTGTAAATCTTATTATATGATTAATGATTTGAGGTCTATTTAATAGCATTAAACCTTGATTTCAAAAATTTCAAATTCACATTTTCATAGAACCAACCGGGACCAACTAATTTAGAAAGTTCCTCTCTAACGTCTCTCGCAGAGGCGGTCGGTCCATTTCCATTTATGTGTTACATGTGGCACATAAACTCTGATTTTCCGGGAAAGTAAATTTTATTTTCAATTCATGTCGCGCAATAATTTTTTTAAAGTTTTTTCGCAAAAAAACCGCGTCGTTCTATGATTTTTCTATCGCTCGCTGCACGAGACCAATTTGCGCCGCCAGCGCCTCTAACGGCATGGGGTGTTAAACTTGCTCACAGGAGAGCTCCATAAAGGCGCATGGTGAAACACAAATTTGCCTACTTTCAGGCGCTAATGCGTTCCCTATGCTGGCCAGTGTGTGTTGGAAATCACCACATATTTCAATGTTTATTTTGTTTGGGCGACGTGCGCGAGCTTACATCAGTGATTTCCGTCGCGTTTTCAGACTTTTCGGACTGGTTGAAGTCGGCTGATGATAATTTGAGGTAGGATTAGGACATTTGATGATGCCTTTATTCATTTTTCGTGAATTTAATCGTTCAATTCTTTAATAATTGTTGAAAAAGAGACTGAAAATCAGCGTCATTTTTCTTGCATATCGCGATCGCGGGATATAAACAAGACCGTACAATGGGGCGGCTATTGAGTTTTAAAATTTTTTAAAGGGAGCACGTCAGCTCTGTGAAAAATTACCAAATTATCTCTAGTAAATTTCAAATATTTCCATTTTTTTTAAAAAGCAAAATATATTTTTTTCAAGCTTTTTAAGCAAAATAAATAAAATTTCAGGGTTTGAACTTTGCATTTTCATGCTGTTTTGTGTTAAAATATATTTTAATTATTTATAGATTGAATACACCAAGAAAAAGTTTTATCAATAAGAGGCTCCTTGGCGATACTAAATTTGAGCCCAGTCGGCGAGGAGCGAAATCGTGTTCAATTTGAGAAATACCTCTGCTGCCGCGGATGGAATGATGATCAAATTGAGGACGGCCGCAGCTTGCGGCAGGCAGCGGCTTCCAATTTTCCAACTTCAGCGGTGTCCGGTGTCGCCGGTGATAAGCGCTCTGGAAAAACTGTTCATCTTTGAAAAATTTGTTTTTAATTTTATGAAACCTAAATAAATTTATCTCTCAATGCAATGATATAAATTAAAATCAAAATTTTCCTCGGCGTTGTGAAACAATTAAGGGTTTGCAAAGTTCCATTTTTCTCATAAAATTTAAAATAAAAAAGTTTTAACTTAAATATGATTTTTTTTAGAGAAAGGCACGGTCTTTCTTTCTGCAATTGTAATTTTTGTGGTAAAATAATTATTTCACATTTTAAAGAATGCTCAAAAATAAAATTTTTTGACACGCTGAATTCAATGGCTATTTTGGAAAAAATCTTAAAAATTTATTTCTGACTTAAAAAATGAAATTTTATTTTTGAGCATTCTTTAAAATGTGAAAAAATTATTTTACCACAAAAATTACAATTGCGGAAAGAAAGTCCGTGCCTTTCTCTAAAAAAAAAATCATATTTAAGTTTAGTTTAAACTTTTTTATTTTAAATTTTATGAGAAAAATGGAACTTTGCAAACCTTAATTTTTTCACAACGCCGAGGAAAATTTAGAGTTTTAATTTATATCATCGCTGAGAGATAAATTTAATTAGGTTTTATAAAAACAAATTTTTCAAAAATATGAAGTTTTTCCAGAGCGCTTATCACCGGCAGCGCCGTTGAAGGTTGAAGTTGGAAATTGGAAGCCGCTGCCTGCTGCAAGCGGCGGCCGTCCTTAATTTGCTGGATGATTTTTTTTATTCGTTTCATACAAAATGTAACAAAAATATTTTTTATCTGCCGGCTGCAGCCATAAGTCATGGGCTAAGAATTATTTGGACAAATTTTCTCTAAAACAATTTTAAAGAAAAAATCTAAAGTCAAAACATTTAAAATAAATTGGGATATTTTTTTCTACAAAACAATTAATTACTCCAAAAACCCATCATCATCATCAGCCGTGTTTTTAAGTTTTATTTGAATAAAACTTTATATTAGAACCAAATTATTAAAAAAAATCTAATAAAAAATTTTTGAACTTGTGTTATTTTCAAAAAATAAGTAACATGCATTTAAAATGTTGTTCATCAAAATAAATTGTTAATTTACGATAGCAAAATGCCCTGAAAATTAAAGTCAAATTTGCATATGTGAATTAATTAAGACAAAGAAAAAAGGCGACAAAAAAATTGAAATAAAATACCCAAAAATTTCTAAAAATGCCACGCCCCTTTTTGATTTTGGGCTGAACACATAAACCTTCTTCATGACCACCGACCGCCTCTGAACGTCTCTCGCGTCTCTTTAGAGCTTAAGCCGTTTAACTTTAATCCTGCGCGCGGACTATATATCAGATTTAAACGTTTATTTTAAAAATTTCAAATTCACATTTTCTTACGGCCGACTAATTTAGAAAGTTCCCCTCTAACGTCTCTCGCGTCTCTTTAGAGCTTAAGCCGTTTAACTTTAATCCTGCGCGCGGACTATATATCAGATTTAAACGTTTATTTTAAAAATTTAAAATTCACATTTTCTTACGGCCGACTAAATTAGAAAGTTCCCCTCTAACGTCTCTCGCGTCTCTTTAGAGCTTAAGCCGTTTAACTTTAATCCTGCGCGCGGACTATATATCAGATTTAAACGTTTATTTTAAAAATTTAAAATTCACATTTTCTTACGGCCGACTAATTTAGAAAGTTCCCCTCTAACGTCTCTCGCGTCTCTTTAGAGCTTAAGCCGTTTAACTTTAATCCTGCGCGCGGACTATATATCAGATTCAAACGCTTATTTAAAAAATTTCAAATTCACATTTTCTTACGGCCGACTAATTTAGAAAGTTCCCCTCTAACGTCTCTCGCGTCTCTTTAGAGCTAAAGCCGCATAACTTTAATCCTGCCGGCGGACTATATATCAGATTTAAATGTTTATTTAAAAAATTTCATATTCACATTTTCTTACGGCCGACTAATTTAGAAAGTTCCCCTCTAACGTCTCTCGCGTCTCTTTAGAGCTTTAGCCGTTTAACTTTAATCCTGCCGGCGGACTATATATCAGATTTAAACGTTTATTTTAAAAATTTCAAACACACTATTTCTGAGGGCCGACTAATTTAGAAAGTTCCCCTCTAACGTCTCTCGCGTCTCTTTAGAGCTTAAGCCGTTTAACTTTAATCCTGCGAGCGGACTATATATCAGATTTAAACGTTTATTTTAAAAATTTCAAATTCACATTTTCTTACGGCCGACTAATTTAGAAAGTTCCCCTCTAACGTCTCTCGCGTCTCTTTAGAGCTTAAGCCGTGTAACTATAATCCTGCGCGCGGACTATATATATCAGATTTAAACGTTTATTTTAAAAATTTAAAATTCACATTTTCTTACGGCCGACTAATTTAGAAAGTTCCCCTCTAACGTCTCTCGCGTCTCTTTAGAGCTAAAGCCGCATAACTTTAATCCTGCCGGCGGACTATATATCAGATTTAAATGTTTATTTAAAAAATTTCATATTCACATTTTCTTACGGCCGACTAATTTAGAAAGTTCCCCTCTAACGTCTCTCGCGTCTCTTTAGTTGCAAATTGTGTTTATTGATCTATCACAAAGGCAATTGCTGCCCATAACGGGATACATCATTTATGCATTCAAAATTATACAAGTTATTATAATTGAGAGAAAAGATGATAATTTTACATACAAATTTTTACAATAACAAAATACAAAACAAAAAGAAAAATTAACAGCTCTTTAGAGCTAAAGCCGTATAACTTTAATCCTGCCGGCGGACTATTTATCAGATTTAAACGTTTATTTTAAAACTTTCAAATTCACATTTTCATACGGCCGACTAATTTAGAAAGTTCCCCTCTAACGTCTCTCGCGTCTCTTTAGAGCTTAAGCCGTTTAACTTTAATCCTGCGCGCGGACTATATATCAGATTTAAACGTTTATTTTAAAAATTTAAAATTCACATTTTCTGACAGCCGACTAATTTAGAAAGTTCCCCTCTAACGTTTCTCGGGTCTCAGTTGAGCTAAAGCCGTATAACTTTAAACCTGCTTGCGGACTATATATCAGATTTAAACGTTTATTTTAAAAATTTCAAATTCACATTTTCTTACGGCCGACTAATTTAGAAAGTTCCCCTCTAACGTCTCTCGCGTCTCTTTAGAGCTTAAGCCGTTTAACTTTAATCCTGCGCGCGGACTATATATCAGATTTAAACGTTTATTTTAAAAATTTAAAATTCACATTTTCTTACGGCCGACTTATTTAGAAAGTTCCCCTCTAACGTCTCTCGCGTCTCTTTAAAGCTTAAGCCGTTTAACTTTAATCCTGCCGGCGGACTAAATATCAGATTTAAACGTTTATTTTAAAAATTTCAAATTCACATTTTCTTACGGCCGACTAATTTAGAAAGTTCCCCTCTAACGTCTCTCGCGTCTCTTTAGAGCTTAAGCCGTTTAACTTTAATCCTGCGCGCGGACTATATATCAAATTTAAACGTTTATTTTAAAAATTTCAAATTCACATTTTCTTACGGCCGACTAATTTAGAAAGTTCCCCTCTAACGTCTCTCGCGTCTCTTTAGAGCTTAAGCCGTTTAACTTTAATCCTGCGCGCGGACTATATATCAGATTTAAACGTTTATTTTAAAAATTTAAAATTCACATTTTCTTACGGCCGACTAAATTAGAAAGTTCCCCTCTAAC